ATTTTATTCTGGGTTTAGGATAAATCCACGATGTGCGGAGATCTGTCTATACATCGATGACAAAGCGTCATGTTCAAGATTATGTTTGGGTAAAAAAACTAATAGCCGATCTAACTGAGATTTAAAGTTTTTAAAGATATAAATGCGTTCAGATATGTGCTTTGATAACGACAGAATGAATGAGGAAATGAAATGGTGTGTCAAACAGCCACCTCAGGCTCCACAGGAGGGGAGGAGTCAGAGAGAAACTGACGGTTTTCCAATTTATCCTGTGAGCATCAGTTGCCAGAGTTACTGATCTAGGGATTATCTGATCTCGCTCTCTGAAACGGAAAACCCAGAGTTTCCCTCATCTCAGGCTTAACATACTCAGAATTTTCACTAATCCCGCTTTCTGAAACGGGGCCCTGGTGTATTCTGAGTAGAAAATAAAGATATTTTCAACTGTTCTCAGTGTTATTGTGTCTGGTTTCAGCTGCAACATTATGATTATTTAAATTACTATTCAGTGTTTTCCCTGGGATGAAGTTGTAGCAGCAGAGGCGAAGCTAACTTATTCTTTTCTGCACTTGCAAAGTGGGCCCTGCTTTATCTTTGGATATATAACACCAACATAACATGTAGCAAACAAATTTGGGTGGGGCGTTTGGGAGTCATCCCCCAATAAAAAAAAAAATTCCAATAAATAAATATGCAATTAAACATAATTTTGGAACTTTGTTATTACCAAATCTGTGAATAATAATTTGGATAATCTAGAGCAGATTTTGAATAACAAAAGCTAAACTTGCTAAAGACTTTTAGTGGGGAGGTATTACCATCAGATCTGGGAAAAGTGATTTAATTACTTTTGATGCTCTCCACAATGATTTTACATTCTCGGCACAGCAGAGTTTTAGCCTCACCTCCTAAACCTCATAATGGCAGGGAAAATCTTGTTAATGTGACATCAGAATCAGTACAGATAGGACTGTTCATGCTTGCCTTTTGTGTCTTAATTTACTGCTTTTTCATTAACATAAAAATAGGCAACATGAGAACCACCTCCCTTTTGACTAGTGCATCCCTAATTGCTTTACTAACCTCAGCTCTTCCGAGGTCTATACCATCCTTTCTTTTTAATCAAGATGTATGTACAGGACAGAGCTGTAACCTGACAACTTAAAGCTGATATTTTCTTCCACTAACTTTCACCGCCACTTTTTGCTGCTTTCTCTCACATTTGCTCGCCCACACACTACGCACTGTAACAGCACCTATCAGATGTCCTTTGAAGAATGAGGAGAGGAAGCTAGCCATGTGTTGAGTGTTACCATGCTGATTAACGATTGTGTGAAATTTTAGCAGTGACCAGATTTTTTTCCCGATATAATAGTTATAGTTCCTCCCCAGTAGACTTATTTAGCAAGTTTAACCTTTGGGGTATTGTTTATTTATAATCTGCTCTAGCTTTTCAAATTTTTTGTACACAGAAATGGTGATAATAATGGTCCAAAATTATGTGAAATTGCATATTTTTATTGGGGTAAATACCCCACCCAAATTTGTATGCATACATACATGTTTTATTGGTGTTTTATATCCAGATATAAAGCATGGCTAACTTTTCAAGAGCACCAAATAATTTGCTTAACCTCTGTTGCTACAACGTGTTTGGTTTGCAAACACGTCACCTTTTTCATCCTTTCTGAGTTTGCATGTATGAATGTTAATTATAATAAGCTGTTGATTTAGATTGTTGTAAAAGCAGGCAGATGAAGGGGACATACATTATTATATATTAAAAATATTATAAATAAAATCCATTTTAAATAAATATATTTTCATGTACAATTTGTGCACGTTTCTTATGTACTGTTGAGTGTTTAAACAGGATGTATACCACTTGTTTCATTTTACGAATTGTTTACAAATTGTTTACTCTGTTTAATTTGAGTGTTACTCATACTGTACGTACAACATTTTTCACTTTAAACTTTAAAGTATAAAGTGGATGTATTAATATTTTTCAGTTCCGGATTGTTTCTTTATTTTCAGGCATAAATCTGCTAATTAGGAGAGAAGTTTATCAGAGTGTGTGTATAGAGGAGCTACTGAGTGCCCTGCAACATAGAATGTACTGTTAGACAACCAAGGGTGTAAATTTCATCTAACAGTTGGAGGGGACAATAAACAATTTTTGAAGGGGTCCCAAATAATACAGCCTAAGTTGTTCATAATGAAACAATGATTATTAAATAATATTTGCATTTTCACTGGATGGAGTTGTTTTATACAAATAAAATCCTGTACCCCAATGAAGCTTTATGTCAAGCAACGCCCCTGGTTGAGATTATGTTGGCTAGCATGACGCTGTTCACAGGTACAGAGAGCATTTATACAAGAGAGACCCTGTAAGTGTTTTGTTTTGTTTTGTTTCGTCAAACTATTCTTTTCAAGGTCAGGAATAAAGTTCCTTTAATAACAACTTATTTGAATTCCACATACATACCATGCCAACATCATATCATACACATGAACATACCTTATGTACTCTACATAAAAGTACTCTCAGTCAGTCTAAAGTCTACAGAGCGTTGGCACCAACATCACCTCATGGTGCATTCGGGGTGTTTTAGGGAATAATCCATCATCATTCCTGACAACTGCTGCTGTTTACATATGGAGCAGATGCTGCAGGCGCTACATTTGGGTACACTTCACTGCAGATACTGACTGAAATGTACAGTGGTGAGTCAAACACAAAATAAGAAGACAGGATAAAGTAATGAAGGCAAAAGAGAGCTGACTGGAAAGCAGAAAGCAGTAGAATGTAGTAGTCTGCTAGTGTTAGTGCTAACTTTATGGTCAACATCGGCTGAGTCGCACTGTATGACAGACTACAAACACCCCATCAAAGGTTGGCACTGTCAGTATTTTGCCTTTTTGTTGTTATCAATAAATCCTTTTAACACCCAAACCCAACAATGAATGTGAGCTACAAAGTACTGCCTGTGTATTTTGAGTGAAAAAAAAAAACCTCAAGTTGACCAGATGGGTCCTCCGTGTGTGGGAGGGTCCTCACACGTTAAAATGAATGAAAAAAGTTTAAAGTTTAAGTACATTTGAATCTGAGCTGGTCCCAGGGAGCAACTGATCAATTTATACTTGTTCATTTATACGCCTTCTTTTTGCTCCTCCTTTTATTGGCCTTATTGCAAGGCCCACCTTTTCTAATCTCATCCTGTCTGACTTTTGACTCCATTATTATGTCACTCATTTGATCAACTTTGTGTCCATCTGGAAACAATGGTGTATTTTCCCTACGTCAGAGCATATAAAAAAATAACAGCTTAATTTACAGCATTAACCAATAGATTATTTGTCATCAAAAAGTGTTTGCTCATGTACAGTCAAAGAGAGGATGAACGTCATTAAGGGCATGTTTGTTCATGTGCTGAATTAAACGATGACCAATATCAGATTCATATTTGTCAGCGAGTGTGTCCAGCATGCAACACTGGAATGCGTGTCAGGCAGTGTGTGTTCCTTGCAGGAATGTCAAGGTAATATGCTGAAGGCAGAAGTGTGCAGTCTGATAACACGCTGTCTAATGGCTGAATGTGATATATTAACAAGATTTTTTATATTTCAACAATGATTTGTATTTCACTAATGATCAGTAGAAAATATTTACAACAGTATCCAACGCCTGATGGGGGGTGGATGAACAAAACAATGTCATTACTACCGTGTGCACGGTGCGAGAGGAGAGGGGGAGGCGCTGGCTGTGATTACTCTGAGCAGCATGCAGGGGTATAAATTACAATCTAACAGATGAGTATATTTCTCATGTTCCCCCTGATGGTCTGAATAACTCACTAGATTTATCACTAGTGGCTTTTTGGAAACAAAGGCCCTGACAGTCTGAAAAAGGCAGGCAGTGGACCAAACCACTGTGAGGCATATGAGAGGGGAGGACATAATCTTTCAAAATTTTAATACATATTGGACTTGTAGTAGAGAACGACAGCTGTTAATTGTTTGTGTATTAAATACATTGACTAGGCACTGACGGAAAACAGTGGTTATATTTTCATTTTTTGATTAAAAATGATTGCAAGGGAAAATTCAGTAGTCGGTGGAAATTGGGACATGTCCCTACCGTCCTTACCTAATTCTACAATCTTGGATTAGATGTCTGGATTTCTGTTCGAGTTTAAAAACACAAAAGATCCATTCTGTTTATTCTGAAAGATTGACTGCCTTTTCAATCTCTAGAGAGTTTTCTATCAGACAGATGTCACTGAGCATGCTCGGAGACTATCTTCCCTGTTTATATGATGAGAAGAATAAACCACACCGATCATGTTCATTGTACAGGTGCATCTCAAAAGATTAGAATTTAAAAATAATTTTTTTTTTTTTTTTTTCAGCTGCACCTGTACATTCTTGACAATGATATAGTTTTTTCAGCACACGTGTGTCTGGTTTGGGAGAAAACACATTTTCTGTAACTATAGGATGTACATCACATATTTTTACAAGAATTTAATTTGGATTTGAAAACTGATGGCAAAGTTTGATGAATGCCCAGACTTACAGGTGCATCTCAAACTTTTTTTTATTAGCTGTACCTGTACATATGTTTGATTGTGACACCAATGCTTTCAGACTCACATATGATGAATTCAGTGGCTCATTTTGCCCCATTTGTATCAATTACCCACCCTTTTCTTAAAAGCTGACTTACTAAAAGCTTACTGTGTGTCTTGTTTAAATGCATGCAATACATATGAAATATTGATGTCTGTCTTGCTTTCTTTCTCATTTTAACCCATTTTCTCCTTTTGCTTTCTACACTGAATAAGTTTGATATTACAGTGATTTATAAGGTGGTAGAATCTATTTTCTGACTGATGATATGAACTGCATTTGAATTACATGTACATCAAGTGTCCCCAGCCCACTATTTCTGATAAAGTATCAGTAAAAAGACAAAGAACATGGTTGTAACTCACCTGCTTGGATGCTTGGGAGCAGCAGAGCTGCCAGAAAGAAGTTGTAGGTCTTCATTTTGTTTCAGCCCGAGCACCTTAAGGCATTCACAGGTTGCTTCAGACCTCCCAGGGGGCTCGGGGGATGGGTTCAGAGTGGGTGTGTTAAGTTCACAGTAGGAGGCCACCAAAGGCACCTAGAACAGCATTGAAATGCAGAATACTCAGCAAGACATGTACAAATAAGGGATTTTTAAAGAACTCTCTCGTGTACAAGTATGGCAGGAGGTCTGTCATATTTCTGGACAGCCATGTCACACGGAGGGTCTCAGAACACCAGCTTTAACTGTTGACTTTAGCGTTATCTTCAAAGAGATTGTGAAGGTAGATTATTCTACTATATGTAGTGAGACATGGAGCTAAACATTACAACATCACACAGGTTTGCTAGGATGCAGCATTGTTTTGTAAAGAAGAGATAAATCCCAACTTCACTGTTATTTCGATATTAGGCCTTTGTTTGTCTACACATGACAGACAGCAGAGACACTTGGAGCTGCATAACTGTGGACACACTGCAGATGCCAAACCTTCAGACTTTGAGTTTGTTAACTACTGGTGACCACAACTTGATAGCAATCAAAGCTCATCTGTGTTTCAGAGTTTCCAGAACTATACACACAAACCGTCTTTGCTGGTCTTGTAGTTTTCAAATTCCCCAGCACTTTCCTGCTATCTGATGCACACTGGTGATGTAACCCAGTGCTACACTTGCCTCTGCACTAGGTATGGGCCGGTTATCGGTTTCAAGGTATTATTACATAATTATTAATTATTTTTTTTTCCTTTTTTTTATTTATTGTCCACCTTTGAGGAAATATGTCTTCTCCAAACAGATATGCAATAGTGACACCACAGTTAAAATTACATTAAAAAATACACACAGTTAAGAGTATGCCACTGTACCACCATCAACATACAACAACATAAAATAGAAAGTAGATCAGCGGATGAAAACAAGGAAGGTTTTGACCTACAAGAAGTGCTTTCATTCAGTGCCTGTATAGCATGGGGAATAAAAGATCTCTTATAGATGTTCCAGCTCGCCCTTGGGACCCTGAATCAACGGCCAGATGGGAGCAACTCAAACTGTGAGTTTAGTGGGTGTAGTGTGTCTGGTGATATCTGTCTGGCCTTCCTGAGTACAGGTCCTATCAAATGCATGCCCATGCTGCCTCTGTGGCTTGCCAATCACTTTCCGTGCAATATTAACAATTTTTGGAAAGCTTGTTTTTGTCTTTCACATTCAAGTTGCCACACAAAGCTGTTATATTAAACTGTAAAATGCTCCCAGGACCCTATATGCCATCTCTGAAGCTCCTCAGCTTTCTAATTAAAAACAATCGCTGGTTAGCTCTCTTAAAAATACTCTCTCAGTTTACATTAAAATTTAAAGTGCGATCAATGATTTTACCCAAGTACTTAAAATATTCGACTACTTCCACAGGCTGGCTGTTAAGTATAACAGGGTTACTGGCCCTTCTTTGTTTCGTTTGTATTATAAGTCATGTTACCATGTCACCATTTCCAGTTTAATAGTCTGACACCAGTCCTGCAGTAAAGTGACTTAGCTAAAGTAAGCTTCCTCATGTGCTGCATTATTTTCTGTGAGAAGTCCCACCAAGGCCATGTCATCAGCATATTTAAGTAAGCTAACATTGTTGCTATGCACAGTCATGTCAGTTATATAAATTGAGTAGACCCCATTCATTAAAAGTCTCTGAAGTCCAGTGAAGGAGCCCACCATTCACATTCATCCTACTAAGTTGTTCTAAAAGAATGTCAATTTGCATAGTATTAAAGCAGAAGTAAAATCAATAAAAAGAACCCGAGCAAATGATTTTGGTTGTTGCAGGTGTATAGCTATTTGATTCACAAGAGTAAGAGATGCATCCTCTGTGCCCCTGTGTGACCTATAAGCAAATTGAAGGGGGGGGTCCAGTTGATTCCCAACAGAGGATATAAGATGGGTGCTAACCACTCTCTCCATACACTTGACTAAGAGTGGAGTGAGTGCCACTGGTCTAAAGTCTCCAAGCGCTGTAGCCTTAGAGACTTTAGGCACAGGTATTATTGTCACGATCGTGGTGTGGAGGCAGGTTGGAGAACCCAAACGCAGGACACAGAGCGGGGCAGGTATGGTACAACGAAGGGTTTTAATAAACAAACAAAAGCGAGCACACTTACAGGTGAGTGGCTGAATAACTGAAATCCAAAATCCAAAATTACCGGGAGACGAGACAAGCAAGGCTGGTTACAGGCAGAGAGTACACACACGACAGACTGGGGGGTAACATGAACAATGACCGGACAAGGACAAGACAGAAACACCAGGTATATATACACAGGGACTAACGAGCAGGGCGGGAGCAACACAGGTGACAGACATGAGACTAACGAGGCAGAGAGAGAGCAGAGGAAAACAGAGAGACTAGACATGACAAGCAGATTATATAACAGATACTGGACACTAGACAGGACAGAACCCAAAACTCAACATACCAAGGCAGATACCAAACTCAAAAGTAAACACAAAGGATGGCCAACCGGCAGAGCGTGACAATTATTGTGGATTTCTTCCATGAGTTTGGAAAACACCACAATTCAGGAAAGTTTGAAACAGCAGAAGACAACCCCTTTAAGCTGTTGAGAGCATGCCTTTAGCACCCTTCCTTGGAAATCAGGAAATCTGATTTTAGAGAAACACATGGCTACTTCTTCTTCCGAAAGCTGTATAGGTTCAGAGCTACCAATCTGATCAAAGATAATACTTCAGCCTATTTGGATTTGAACATTTTCCATAGAAGAAGAAGTTCCAGAGAACTTAATATAGCATGTGATTGTGTCTGTCAATTCGTGATGATCAGAGAATGTGTCAAAAAACATGCGCCAATCCGTCAAAACAATCTCTGAGCTCCTCCTCCAGCCTCGGTCCATTGACGTACAGTTTTCAGGAGTGGTTTTTCACACTTTACATTCTGTCTGTATGTTGGAAGGAGATGAGTGACGTTATGATCAGACCTTCCAAGAGGAGGGCAACTCACTGCCTCATATGCGTCTGGGATGTTACCGAAGCATTGGTCCAGTATGCAAGTGGAGCGAGTGGGCGTGGTAACATACTGCTGCAGAGTGGGTGGATGAGGTGACAGCTGACATGTGTCAAAATCCCCCAAAATAAAAACCGGCTGATCTGCCGATCCGGAGATCAGAGAGTGCAGCATTGAAGCTGTCGGTTATTATTTCTGCAGCTTCTTTATTGTTAGATCCTGGGAGATAGACAAGAATAATGATGATTTGCCCAAACTCCTGCGCAAGGTAAAACGTCCTGGTAGATACAGACAGCAGCTTATAGTCTGTAGTGCACGCTCTCTTGAGCACTTTAAATTGGGAGGCCCAAGTGCTGTCAATAAACATGCAGAGTCCTCCCCCGATGGATTATCACAATCTGCTCTTATAACTGTATATCCCTCCATGTCAATGCTTGTGCTGTCCTCTTGAAGCCATGTCTCGAAACAGAGCAAGTTACTCCTCCGAAAATCCTCATCAAACTGGAGGCGTGTCGTGATTTCATCCAGTTTATTATTCAATGATCTGACATTTGACAAAGTTATGATGGGAACCTGTTACGAACGCCCCCCCTCGAGCTTCTTTTCTTCCTTTTCCTGCCTTGGGTTTTTCCAAGAGGGGTTGATAATATATGGTTCGAGTCCACAGGCACGACTTTATCCCGAAGGGCAAGAAGATAATATCTCGAGTATGTAATCAGTGGCGACGTTTATATCTGGTATTCACTTCCAGCATTGTTCATTGGTTATTGCAAAGTTCTCGCTTATGACAGCGTATAAAATGAATAAAATCACCTCTGCACGTAAATAATCCATTTTCATGTTGCTTGACACGACGACATGAACAGTTGACAACACGATTTACATCAAAAATTCCAAACAAACAAACTGAGGAGCACAGAGTCAGCAGCCGTGCCGCTCCCCCCTCCTAGGCTGTGCCCCGGTTCTTCGCTAAATTCAAGCTAACACTGTTTTGAAATAAACAAGCTAAGAGAGTGAGGTGTTTAGCACTGGTGAAATAAATACTACTGGCTTGCTACCGAGGTAGATAACATGGCTAATGAACTAGCCAACATCAGCTAGTTTCTCACCTCACGTTACTTCACAGAGAGGGGAAGAGCAGAGTTTTACGTTTCTGCGTTTTAGTACAATGTTTAAATTTAGCTGGTAACACATCTATACTTTTTCAAGTCTTCCACCATTGCAGATGTACAATCTGCTCAAAATCAGGACATTTGAAAAAGAAGAAAAAAAACATATTGATATTATTCTTAGCAGCAGAAGTATAAGCAGTTGTTGCTTATTTTATATATATATTGTTCAAATGGAAAAAAGTTGATGTTTTTTTACCGAGACATCGTAATAGTGCAATACCGTGAAACAGTGATATTTTTGCTTAAAGTTATCATACCGTGAAAATCTCACACCGGCCCAAGCCTACTCTGCACTGTGCTCAGTGACAGAGTTGTAACATACGTCCAGTGCTTGAGTCCAGTCTTGGTATCAACGGTGATCAACAGAGATTATCTCAGACGTATCGCCAGGCTCGTCACTTACAGTCTTTGGTCTCAACCATGTCCAGTTTGGTTTTTTTTCAGCTCAATTGTCGGGCAGTGGCCAGTTCACCATGACGCAAAATTCTATCAGTATCACTGGACTGTCATATACAAGTACAGGTAATTCTGATTATCCATAGTGTGTTTGTTTTTGTTTTTACATCCGACAGACTGTTGAGTGAAATTATATCACAGTTGAGTGTCATTATGAACAGCAGTAATATAACAGGATGAAGAGTATTGAAGGGACCCGGTTTTGTTTTTAGGACTCTTCTCGACTCGGACTCAACACGTAGCATTACGTGGTCTTTACTACACAGCATCCAAGGTTAAAGCTTTTCTAAGGCTGCTCAAATCAACCACTAGAAGTTGCCAGACATGTCACATCCCTCGTCACATATGGACGCATGGTCAAGACCCATCAGCGTCACTTTGTAATGCAGTTATTTATTGTTTCTAACTTTATCGGATGTTGCATATTTGTTGTTGCTAAGCGTTGCTAACTTGACCTGGGAG